TCAATATACTTTTACGATTTCTTTAAATAAGATATTGTTTTAAAACTCATTCATGTTGCAAGCAATGTCTGATCAACAGATATGATTTAATAGCGCCCCCTCGTTTATTTAAATACTAAGCAGCCAAAAAAAGTAGAAACGTTTCCCTAATAAGCTTGTTTATTGAAATATCCTCAAACTCAAGAGGTGAATAACTGTTTTTGACGCAAAGCTGTTGACAAGAAAATCAAACACATAACAAACGGGCGATCTTACCTGTCGTGGTCTTGTCCAACATAACCGACCATGAAAAACCACAAGGAAGAATGCAAGCCATAGTATCGTCATGGCGACAGAAGTAACTTGAACAAACTTGAATAATATATAGTTCTTTGCTATTTGTGCATCGCTTATATACCCTGTAGATTAGCTTTTCCTGCCCACCGAGATGGTAGCTTTATCATGGCTTAACTTCAGCCAACCAACCAGAAAAGGCTTTGTGAAGCAGCATGACAGCTTATGCGGCGTTATCTGTCTACCGATGCTAATTTTTATCTGTATGGATTTGCGTTGACATGATAATGAAGTCGACGTTTAAGCCGAAAAACTGCCTGTATTAAACATATTGAATTAATGACCTGCCTTTATTATGAGGGTGTATTGATCTTTTGCGTTAAACAACATATGTTAAGGCACTTATTAGTAGTGTGCATAACTAACTATCCTTTGTCACGTATGATTTTATATTTAATCACAAGAATGAAGTGCTTAAAATAAATTAAACTTAGGTTTTTGTATATTACACTGCAAGCCCAAATGATACAAATTTATTTCGAGTGTCGTTACAATTCAGTAATCATATACATTTATGACATTTGTTTGACGAACAATGCTTAGCACCAGTTACAAGTTACATTATAGTTTTATTCCAAGTGATGTTGTGTAACTACAGCTAGCTTATACCATAAACAGGCAGTGAAAACTACTTTTCGCTTAGAACTACATACACGGTTTTTTTTTTTTTGGAAAACTTGGATATCAAAGCAAATATTTAAGTGCTTACGAGGTTAACATAAAAATAAAAAAAGGAAGTTAGTTAGATTATTAAAGAATTAAAATGCAGTGGAAGGAAAATCATCTTGTAATAAATATTACAGAGGGTTCAGTACATTACATTAAAACAATTTGGAATAAGCAAATCAACAAGTTTTTATCAAGTTTCTAGACCAAATAAAAACAACAAGCTATATTTAAAATTGGCAACTGATTAGTTGTTAGTCGACTAATTTACACATTGACACATCTATTGGATTAAGAAAGCGGATACTGTTTAAAATATATGTCAGAAACAACATTTCGTCACGTTTGAATTTGACTTTCTTAGGGGCTACGCTGATTTTCTGTTGTTTTTTGTTTACAATAACCATCAATCGTAGGAGTAATACTGTTTTATTAGTTACTTACATCCGTGTAACTTTGTCCTTTGATCTATTAAACACAAAAGTCTTATGTTTCAGGAATGCGATCGATGTTTCCTGTGTCGTGTTCCGAGAATAAAGAGCCTGGCGTTTTCTAGACCCTCATGAGGTCAAATGTTCAGTCACACCTATACTCTTTAATGTAGAAGTCTCTGATTGATAATTAATAAATGAAGTTTAATAATAATAATTCTATTTTTTATCAAGTTACAATGACAAATTAGCCTTCTTAACTGTTTGATATTCTTAAGGCAAGGCGAAACCTATATATATATGTATATTGGTAAGCGAGGCGCACTTTAAATACATACATATATATTGATAGGCGTGGTCGCAATTTAAATCCTGGAGTTCATGGTTCGTAGCCTGTTTCCGAAAAAACGCGCTCCGCACATTGGGACCGTGGTGCGCTATAAGAGTAACAGACAAATCCAGCTATTCGGCCACACAAGATTAGCCCAAGTGTTGTTAATAGTGGATGCTGTTAGCTAACTATGTTTCCTTTAGTTTAATAGTTCAGGGACGACTACGCGAAGGTACCTTTTTGTGTATTATTGTATTAAGAACAATAATAAAACTAATATAAACCATGCCGTAGCCTGTGGCTTATTTACACCTACTGTATCTCACGTGTTTAGTGCACTGAACTTGCCTGTTATTGTTTTCACGATACTATAGAACAGCATAACAAAACAGACGTCATTGAACTGGGCGGCCTGGCATGGCCAGGTGGTTAGGGCGTTCGACTCGCAATCTGAGAGTCGCGAGTTCGAATCCCCATCTCACCAAACACGCTCACCCTTTCAGCCGTGGGGGCGTTATAAGGTGACGGTCAATCCCACTATTCGTTCGTAAAAGAGTAGCCCAAGAGTTGGCGGTGTGTCGTGATGAGTGGCTGCCTTCCCTCTAGTCTTTCACTGCTAAATTAGAGACGGCTAGCACAGATAGCCCTCGTGGAGTTTTGCGCGAAATTCCAAACAATTCAATCCTGAACATGGTAACCAGACAGTAAGTATACCATCAATTTGGGTATTTATTTATAACTGTTGTGGTGAATACAAACTTCAGCTGTGACTAAGTTTTCGGTTTCATTAGGATAGAGTATAGGTGTCCATTTTGTAAAACATGAAATATGTCAATATAGTTGTTTAAGTTGGAATTGATAAACAAAGCTAAAAACAAAATTGAAAGGGTGATTTTTGAAGCGATTGTTGATACCACCAGGAACACTAGAAGATTTTTAACTTAATTGTTAAACCATACCTTAAAGTCTCTAATATTCACTTCCCTAGTTCCAGTGAGGTCATGCGTAGCATAATAATTAGTGTGCCTGGACTGTAAATTTGAAGATTCGTCGTCTGCGTTCCAATGTCGCAAAAACGTGCTCCGCACTTTGGGGTCGTATGTACTCTATATTAGTGATGGTCAGGTTCCATTATTCGACCAGATAAGAATAGCCCAAGATTTATCGGTGTGTGTGTTCTTGACTAGCTGTATTCTCTCTAGTGTGTCAGTTCAACATTAGGGACGTTTATGTACAGATAGCTTTTTGTGTTGTTATGCCCAAAAAATCTGAAACAAACTTAACCCCAAAAAACGGTTCTTACTGTCAGGTATAAATATCACAAGTACCAAGTATCCTCATTACTCAATATGAAATAAACAAGCTGACAGACAGTCTTGAATACCTTACATATACATCGACCAAAAGGGTTTATTTTGTGACGTTATACAATGGCGAAAAGTTTTAACGTGTCAGTGACGGTAGACAGAACTTCATCGATCATACAAGGAAGAAGTTGTTTTAGCGCAAAGCTACAGAATGAACTGTCCACCATGGGGGAATCGGATTTTAGCGTTGTGAAAAAACTTACCGCTGACCAACCAGGGGACATGTAGGAAAGAAGACGAGATTTGTTTCGTTACACAGTTAATACATTTTTGTTATACTTCATAAAATGTTTACATTGATATGCGTATTTCCCTCAATTCAGAAGCTTAAGTATAATATATAACTGAAGGCTTTTAAAGAATACCCACAAAAAAAACCAAAAAACACACACACACAAAAACAAAACACACACACACACGAAACAAAACAAAACACACACACACAGAAACGAAAAACCAAATTATCTTTTTTTTCATTAGAGTTTAATCTATAAATATTACTGCAGCAGCAGTTGAGTTACGTGGTTTGATAAAAACAAAGTCAGAGTAGAAAGGCATGTGTCAGAAATCCATTTTGACATTGTATAGTGTTTTGTAGATAGTATGTGACGCCACCTAAAATAGTTCGCTTTTGGGAAGGGTATGTAACAGCCCTTTCCAATGCAAAAATTTAGACACTCAAATCATAGAATGTGTATTCAGATTGGTTATTTAGAATTTCCAAGACAGGAATATCAGTTGTACATAATAGGATTAGAAAACAAAGGAAAACGGACCAACTTAGGGCACTAGGACCACCAAAAAGAGACCTGCAACAAGTTGTACAACAGCCACGGCAAGCAAAGTGCAACATCTTGTAACAGGCTAGAATCCATGAACACAAAAGTGAGTGGCAAAAGCTGTCCTCGTGCCCAAGCCAATAGTACACAACATAATCGAGAAGGACGTCAGTGTGGAAAAGTAACACAAGTGACGTGTACTAAGCTGTTTCTTCAAGATATTTGTTAAACTGTCACATACCTTTATAATACTTTAACTTACTAATTAAGTCACTAGAAGAAGCGCGATGGATTTTTGCGTGGCTGTTGAAATGGGGGGCTAGGAAACCGTCTTTTCGTACACTAGTTATGGAAAGCATGCAAGGTGTAGTATTGTGCTTCTGATATGACAGCATTACGACGGAGCCTTTTAGAACGGAACATCAAGACCGGATGTGGCTACGTAGACTGTTAAGACATGACAAGGTTCCAAAATCGAATATAACATAAGTTTTCATTGAAGTAATTTGTAAAGAAAGTGTGTATTCGTGCATATTAGAAATTATACTTATGTGTTCAAGTCAAACACTGTAAAGTCAGTGTAAAGTTTGTCTTTTGCTTGCTGTTCATAAAACACACATTTTGAAGGAACTAAAACATATGGATCGTCGAAACTAGGCATTTGAGCTCTCTCTTTTTGAATGTTCACATGATTCAGACGCGAAGTTTCTTCTAGGAGAAATCCTAATAGAAACAATTCTTTGAAAACAAGATAAAGTGATGTATTAAACTAGAAACTTCTTGATGTAGGTTTTTTGTAAAGATAGAGAAACGATGGATTTTCTTTCTCCTGGAAAACCTATGGACAACTCGTTTGAAATCCATCCCTTTTCAAATTTCGGATTTTTATTCTAGTGTCGATGTAGATGATCATTGTAAATAAAAGAGTGACTAAGTATTATTTTTACGTCAAATTAAGATTTCCTGAATCTGAATTGTGTGAAAACTCTAAAAAGAACAGCTCAACTGTCTATTTTTGTCGAGCCAGCTGTTATAGTTCCTTCAACAGATGTGTTTCATAAAGAGCATAGAAAAGACAGGCTTTATTTACACTGACCTTACAGGTAGAAAAGCACCAGTAGTGCAACAATGAGCGGCCTCAAATTTTAATTTTTAGTGAAGAAAAGTATTACATGAAACCTGTTGGAATTTAAAGGTATGTAACATGTTTGTAGTTTCTAATAAATTCACATTTTTACAGTTTATTACATGGATTTTGTTGGGTACTGTATTTTGATTATTCTTGTTACTATTAGGTGTAAAACTATCAATCCAATTTAAAAGTAGCTAAATTTTCAGCCTTCTATAATTATAGTACATATACTCTGGTTATGGTATGCTTGTTGAGTTCTCGCCCAATACTATTCAAGGGCTATCTTTGCCGTCCATAATTTTCAAGTGATAGACTAGAGGAAAGAACGTTAGTAAACAATACTAATCGCCAACTCTTAGGTTACTCTTTTACCAATAAATAGTGGAGTTCACAGTCACATTATAACTCACTCCACAGCGAAAAGAGCGAGCACATACGTTGAGGGGTTTCGATCCCGCAACGTGCAGATTACGAGTCGAGCACTCTAACCACAAGGCCATGTAAGACCGTACGGTATGATAAAACATACAGATAACCGTATTATGTTTATGTTTTAATTTTAAGGAACACATTAAGACAATTCAGAAAGAGGAAAAGGATTGGTTTGTAGTGTAGAAAAATGTGTATCAATAAGTTTTATAACGTTGCCCCTAGAAGATTTATTTTAAATTATATATCTTATATCGTGGTGATTTATTTCGTATTGATGTCGAACTAATTAGAGAAGAAGCGATAAAATACTTGAAAATAACTGGTTAGTTAACTGTATGTAAATGTAGAGTGCAAACAGTTTATTGTTAAAGATTTCAGGGTGAGAAAGTTACTAATAGACCAGGATGATTATGATAAGAATCATCGTAAGAAAAATGTCAGTGAAAACGCCAATCCCGCCGTTGGTTAATCAACCCCCTCCTATTTGTTGCCACGGCATAGCGGCTCATGGAGTTTTTTTTTCTTTAAATAAAAATTTTTTAGCTCGTATCTCCATCTCTTGAACAATTTGAGATCTAATTACAGCCGCGGCTATTGAGGATTCCCTCTTGTTGACTCTTGCACTACCATTTGCAGCCATGGTTTACAATAAGTTTAACGTGTATTACACTACAATCAAGTATCCAAAATAAAGACTATATAGAAATAGCATAATAAACAACATTTTTTCATTCTTATTAAATTTTCATTTACGTAAAGTTGCGAACTAATAAAAAAAAACAAAAGTGAAACATAAATGTTTGATTTGTCATTTTTCTTTCCTGTAGTATTGGATTCCCTAAAAGACGTGTATTTAAATGCGGTGTATCACATTTATCTGCAGCAAAGTGACATACTTAGTGCTTGTCGTCTTAAACATAGTTATTCTTCACGAATTCGTCCAGATTTTATACCCTGAATTCATATACATCCAACAAAATTACAAAACATCACGCTCATATTCCTCTGCTGAGCCGGATGGAATAGTATCATCCAGAGAGTGTAGCTTATCGCAAGTGGAACCTGGACAATGGTTGGCACAGTCCGCACATCAAGACAACTGGACGGATGACTGGCAACTTGTGGATCCAAACCTGCTGATTTACTCTGCCTATCTGGATGACAGGACAGTCTCAAAGCCGACAATACGCATCATAGCTAGAATGACACAGTTTTATTGGCCTACAAAACGTCCAGCTGAGCTTGATCTGTTTAGATGTTTAGTTAAATTTGACCCTGGTTGCCAAGAGTGTCCAGCGATTATTCATGTGAAGCCAAGATGGAGGAAAATGTTTGAGGGAGATTGGATGGAACTCAGCCTAGAATTTATCTGTGACCTTAACCAGACTTATGAATTACCGAAGAAAGTGGCTATAGTGAGTAACACAACTACCGAGGAACCATTATGGGTACGAATTCGCCACTTAAATCGGCCCCTCTCTCGTCCCAACAGCATTGCAGTGTGCGTCAAGCCTATTTATTCCTCGTGTAACCAATCTCATCTTGCTGAATTTATAGCTTATTATAAAGTTTTAGGTGTTGATTATTTTAAATTTTATGACGCTAGCTCTTCTATTGCTACAAGTCAGTTCCTTAAACGGGTGTCTCAAAATGACCCTTCTGTGCTAGTTTTCCCTTGGAATGCCAGAAAGAAAGGTTGGCCAACCTTTCCTGAAAAGTTTCGAAGCTGGTGGGCTGCTCTCCAAGATTGTGTTTATCGTTCAATGTTCCAGGTTGAATTCGTATTAGTAGTAGACTCTGACCAGTTCCTTGTGCCTCGCAATTCAACTTCATTACTTCAGTTACTGATGGAGGTCCAGGAGGCTGCTGGTATGTGCTTAGAAGAGTTCATCTTTTCCCAGGCTGTCTTTTGTGTTAATTTTCCGTCTAGTATTCAACCTTCTCCGTTACCTCCTTACAAAGTTTTCCAGAAAACCACTCGTTACTATGTGCCAGAAGGTTACTGGGGTTCGAAGTACGTTGTTAGACCCGAGATTGTAGAAGAAACAGGAGGTTATCGTGCAGATAAAGTGATTAGAAAAGTTTCATATAAATACGTGGAAGAGAAATGGGGGGTTATTCATCATTACAGGGGACCTATGGAGCCGCTTTATAATATATGTGGCAATTACACACGTGTTAAAAACACGCCCTACGTTAGTGAGGATAATTCGTTACCCAGTAGATTCGGTGAACTGATGCTTCCCGAGCTAAGAAAGTTAAAAATGTTTTATTAATAATAACACTGTTTGAAACTACGACAACCAAGTCTTAACTATATGCACTTCTTTCAGTAAACCATGTTTTAAAAATTATAACTGCAAAATAACAATATTATATTTTTCAAAACTCCTCTGGTACCCCAACGATAAGCTTCGGAACTCATAACACTATAATTCGATCCAATCGGTGGACACAGTACATATATAGGTCATTTTGTAGTTTTGCTCTAAAATAAACAAACAAATCTTTAAAAAGCTGTTTGCTTTTTTTGCGTACTTAAAGGAAATATAAGTCGATGGCAGCTGTTAAAAGTAAACAAAAAGAAATAAAAGCTGATTTTGAGATCTGGTGGATCAGTTAGACAAATTAATTTAAATCAGAAGTAACTTATTACATTAAATTTGGTTTATCTGAAAATATTAGCTGATAAAAACTATGCACAAAAAAGAAATAAAATTACGATGAACTAAACTCATAATTACATTTCTGTTCACACAATAACTATAGAACAAATAAACAAAATTTACTTCAAATAAGTCTCTTGGCTCTCGGTACTGTGTGATTTAGTAGTAAAGTTGAATTTATCAATTAAATAGTGGAATATCCATGTCTATACACTGTGCGTTACATCCAATATTCTATTAACTTCTGGTACATTTAATTTTCATTGACGCGCCGTTTTTAACTATAGATTTAATGGAGTAGAAGGTAAATGATAATATTTTTTACTTCACGATTATATGGCACGCTCGTTTGAAATCTGTTTTCGCCCTTCGAATTATACACCTAGTGTCAACGTAGATGACCGATATAAATATAATCGATACTGTGTGTTTTTACAATAAGTTAAGATGGAAATAAAAGTGAAATTAATAAGATATTAAGATAAGTTGGGCTTGTCGGATATCACATATTCACTACCGTGTTTTTCGGTGTATAAGACGTACTTTTTTACCCCAAAATTTGATGTCAATATCTGTTTGTGTCCTATACACCGAAGGTATGAATAATATATATGTAT